GAAAAGAATTGCCGGGGATTTGGTTCAGTGGTTCTGCTGCCTGCCTTGCAAGCACAAGGTCCTGAGTTCAATCCTCACACCAAACAAAACAAAACAAATAAAAAGAATAGAAATACTGGAGTTTGAGCTGGGTTGGCTCAACCAGATTTAAGAGATCTTATTAATACTTCAGTCACTCAGCTGAGAAACCAGTGAATGTCAAAGGACTAAGACCACACTTGTAGTAAGGTCTTCTCTAGAGACACTAATAGAAACTAAAGAGTTAACAGTATCTGCAGGGGTCAAAGAACGTACAGTTGGAGTCCTGGTGATTTCGAGGACTTGGTAAATACCTCAGACTTTTGAAATCTACCCTGACAAAGCATAAAATGAAGCCTACACAAGTTCAAAATAACAACCAGTAATTAAACTGCCTACAACAACTTCACATAAGAATATAAAAGAATTACTGGGTGTGGTGGTGCACGCTTGTAATCCCAGCACTCGGGAGGCTGAGGCAAGAGGATTGCTGTGAATTCGAGACCAGCCTGGGCTACATAGTGAGTTCCAGGTCAGTCTCAACTACACAGTGAGACCCTGTCTCAAAAAAAAAAGAATATGAAAGAATTTATGAATGTATTCAGTAAAAATTTAAAATATACCAGACATGCAAAACAAACAAACACCCTCCCTGCAAGGCGGGAGGAAAGTGCAACCTGACAAAGTTAAACCCTGGGAGGCTAAACCTAGATTCTAAATTTTGCTTCTCCTAGCTACAGATAGGAACAACCTTTTCTATTCTGAGTCCCTGTTCAGATGTCTTCTTAACCATTGGGATGAGTCCCACACTAAGACCAATCCAAGAGAACATTTTATATCCTTTAGTAACAAATGGCCTATGTATCTACTTGGGGAAAACGAGACATGGCCATCCCTTAGCAGCCTGAAATATAATGCCATCCATATTTCAACTATATTTCTGCTGTAAGGAGCAAGACAAATGGTCAGAGGTGCCTTACATTCAGGCCTTTATGGGCTTCTACCAGAGGGCTGATCTGTACGCTGGAGTCATCCAGGAGCTGATGCTGCAGAGGGCTCCCTCCCGTCAGCCCCTCCTTTTCACAGAAAACCTCCTCACCAGCCTGCTCAGTCAGTACCCTCAGGAGACGAAGGCCATCTCCTGAGTCTGGGTCTCCTTACCATAGGGCCTTAAGACTCAGAGAACTCAGCACCTAAACCTACCTTCCCTCATCAGATCTTCGGCTAATGAGTTCCTGTTATCCCAGGGTCAAAGAACAAAAAAAGTTTAATAAACAGTGTCCTTGAAAAGAAGCAAATGTTAACAAATTTATCAATGCCTTAATTGTGGAGGAGAAGTTATTTTCCAAATGTCAAACTCCAGTGGGCCATGACTGGGCCCACACAGTGTCGTCTCTCTTTAACCTGCTCTTGAACACCCAGTAGGAGAGTATAACCAAAGATATATAAAAGTAATATTATTATAGGCTAAACATAAGAGGGTCTCCATTCACTGCCCCTGCTGATAGTTTCTAGTTACACCTATAGAGAGGTCTAGGAGCTAGCTAAATACAAGTGCTATTTCAATCCTTTAAGAACAGCAGCTGAGAGCCAGGCATGGTGGCGCAAGCCTGTGATCCCAGCACTCGGGAGGCTGAGGCAGGAGGATCACTGTAAATTCAAAACCAGCCTGGGCTGGTGAGTTCCATGTCAGTCTCAACCACATAGTGAGACTGTCTCAACAAACAAACAAAGAGCAGCACCTGATGTGGCTCCTTGTAGTCAGGATTTGCAAGGAATAGATTTAACATAGGACCCATAATTTATAGGATTATAATATACACCTCAAAAGTCAAATGTAGAGGAGTACACACACAAGAGACATGATGGAGCCAGCCGAGGGCCTGGATCCCACGGCAATGGGATCTAAGCCTTAGATTCCAAGGCAATGTCCCGCATGAGTCCAGCCAGAGGACTAGAGCCCATGACAAGGTCTTATTCAAGTCTGTATGGAGGATCAGCATCGGGAAGGCCCAAAGGAAGCTAGAAAGCCTGCGCCAGCAGGGTGAAAGATTTGTGCCACCATTCTGAGAGCTGTAGGCTGGAGTCAGGAACTGATGCTCAAGGCGAAGATCAGGGCTTACCTGGTGAGAACAGCAGCCATTCCCTGTCGCGAGCCGGCGACGCAGAGCACTGTCCAGCAGTGCCTCAAACCTGAAAGAGCAGCAGGGTGGAGATGGGGCAGAGAGAAAAGAAGGACGCCAAGACAAGAGTCTGATCAAGGCGACGTTTATTGCCGGCAAGCACCGGCCTTTTAAAG